TAATGCAATAGGGTGGATGCACGCATTGTAAATCATATGTACAAGAGAGTTGTGAGGCTGGAAATGAGCTGCCCGTGGGTTAAAAAAATCGGACAAGAAAGGATGGAGAGAATACACTGAAGTACGGACTAGGCATTTATAGATTATGCTAGTAAAAGTGGCATATTATGCTAGTAGCATTGCTTTTTTTTGGCCAAATTATGCTAACATTATGCTCTTTTTTTCAAATTATGCCACCGTTTTTTTAAATTATGCTCTGAAAAAATGCAAATAAGTCCTAAATATATATTTTTTAACTAGAAGCCGTTCGTCTGCAGGAAAGAAACGCAACAAATCCACAATGAATTTCAAATAAACATGTGGTTCAGGTTAACATGCACACTAGTATTAGATTATACTCTCGGCAGCAGAAGAAGGTTGAACAAGTAAGACTTTTAAATAATGGCATCAAAAATGATCTGATAATTATCAAAATGCGCAAATTATGCTAACATTGCTACTTGGCAGAAATTATGCCAGTTTGCTCGAATTATGCCAAAAATTATGCTAGCATAATCTATAAATGCCTAGTACGGACCCCTTCGCTGGGAATTAAGGCAGCAGTTCCTAGGCTACGAGGTGAAGCAATATAACATCATTATGGATGCCCTCGGAGGGTGGTCATGGGAGCTGGATGTCATGATGGGCGAGCTGGTGGGAGGCAGAAGCACAGACGTACTGCGAAAGATGCATAGGGCAGTCCTTTCGGGGACGCTGAATATTACCCGGACTTTCAAGGTTGCAGTTTGAGTTCCTGTTAGAAGGAGGACCGTAAACACAACGGAAAAGCTTTTTAGGATTAGTTAATGTACATTTATTTTTTTACTCCATGGCTCACAGGTGACGGTTTTCGCCCTGTGCTGCCTGATTAGAATGTAGCATTCAGTTGATTTCTCTGCGATAATAATAATAATAATAATTAAGCGCATCTGAAGGGTATAGGCTATCTAAGCCCATCGGCACAACGGTCACTGACCTTCTTTACATCGATGACCTGAAGATCTTCGCAGCGTCTGAATCCAAGCTAAGCAGAGTCATGAAATCGGTGAGGGCAGCAATGGAGGATGTGGGGCTCATATGGAATCCCAAGAAATGTGCCGTGGCCCACTTCAAGACATCAGACATCAGCAGGGTCGTCCAAAAACACGATGGAGGGATGATCTCACTAGACAGCTGGAATCTGCATGGTCGACAGTGGCTAAAGTCAGATACCTGTGGGATCATTACAGGGAGGGGTTCCTCCGCCCGGAGTGAATTTAGCCCTGATGATGATGATGATGATGATGACGATGATGATGATGAAAGAACAAGCTACTGCAGCTTTTAGACGAGGAAGACTATCCGAGTCGGCAGGAAGTTAAAGAGGTTTGTCAAGAACTTAGTGTGGGACAGGAACGCACTATGGAGACAATCGAACTGTGGTCGGACGAGTATTTGAGCCCTAAAGAAAAAGACGAAAGCAGGAAACTTGGAAAAGAAATGGAACTAGACGCTCAAAGAAGAGATAACTCGGGCTCAGCGAGCAGAACACTACTAACGAAGTCCAGAAACGTACCCTTGAGCGTGAGCAATGCTAACCCGAGACCTAGGTTAGAGCAATGCGTGCGAACGTTTTTAAGCGAGAATCCGATGGAGCCGTTCATCCTCCATGAAAGACGTAGAGAAGAGCCAGTGTATATTGTACTTCAGGATAACTCATAATATTTTTGTGTTCTTGTTTTTCTGCCATATTTATTGCTTGTCGTCATCAAGAATCAATTTTCCTGGTATAGGAGTAGGGATTGCAAAGCTCTGGACATTTTTCCCCCAACGGGTGTAGGGAAGTAAACATTTTTGGGTAGCTTCGTTTAAAAATCGCAGCGAGTTGCACTGACCCTTGAGCATGTTCGAATTTGCGGGGACATTGGTATCTGTCACTATAAATATATATTATGGATATACTATCACCTCTCAAGTAGCATGAGAAAATTGGTTGCGTAAACGGGGCTTTAGAGGGTTGTATGAAATCCAGGTTTTAGTAATTTCAATCTTTACGGAACTTTCTTGAAAATCTGTAAAACTACGCAGAGCAAAAAATAAATGAAATGTTCGCTTGGAAATGGCAGTATTACTCCCATCGTAGCAGAGTATTTGGCCTTCTTTATCCGACTATTGAACGTTTTTATCCTGCTAATAGATTGTTCTTGAGCGATCTGTGTTTGTCATTCGTCACGGAGGAACCTTTAGATTGGGCTGCCTATGGTGAAAGTGGGTTATGTCGCGGAAATCGAGTGTCGCGGGAATTGGGAATAAGAAGCCTGAAATTGTGCTCATTTGCTGAGGTTCAATGCTGGCCTTATTAAAAACTCCTTTAATCTCTCCCCCTCGTACATCAAATCAAAGCAGTTGTTTTAGCTAAGGTATGATTTATTAACAAGAACAATTTTACTTTGAATAAAACATCATCAATCTAATATGAAAAATGAAATATTAAATTTGTGAAAACATTCTTCTTTGCATACAGGTGGTAATTCCACCTATAGTCCTTATAAACGATTGGCTTTATCCGAGAGTAATTTTCCAATAAACGCGAACATGACTAAACGAGT